TAATTACACTGAAAGAGTTGACAATAAATTGATAAAAATATCTTGTTTTTATACAAAATCTTTTAAAAACGTGTAAAAACTAATATGAGACAAACATATTATTTACAAACACGTGATAAATAATATTATTGTCAAAATACGGCAACATATTGATATTGACGACTTGCTAACTTGTGGTCTCAAAAACATTACACACTATGGAAAACGTGATCTAAGTAAGTGTTGTCGACAAGTGTTGTCGACATTCTCTTAACTAAAAGTCTCGGTGCAAATTTATTATTTTTAATAAAATAATATATAATTATTGAATTTAAAATTTAATTATTAATATTTAAAATAATTATTTTAAAATTTTAAAATTCAAAATTTATAAAATTAAAATTTCGACTTCAATATCTGGTCATCACAAAAACAAAAGTGAGCGGAGAATCAAGAATGCATATCCGTTAGTGCAAACTGCTATTCTTATCCTAAAGTAGTCATATGTATAGGATCTTTAATTCGTTTTTAAAAATAAAATTATATATTTATAAACTATACAAAAAAATGGCTTTAAAATATTTATATAAAAAAGTCATGATTAAAGTAAAATTCATTTGGCTTTTAAAACTTGAATGGTACTGCTTAAATTGCAACGGAATAAATAATACTTTCTTTGTCTCAATTTATATGACACATTTGAGATTTTAAGATTTAAACAAATCTATCTTTGACCATACATTTTTCATACATCTTTTAAATATTTTGAATTGTTAGTTATTGTGACTTATTGTACTTTTTACATAGTTTACAAATATATAAATATCATTTAAAAAAAAATTGAAGATTACATGAGCAAATTCTCGATCAAACTTAAATTGTTTGACTCTCAAAAAATAAAATAAAATTTAGTGATGAAACTTTTCACATTATTTATCAATACTCCTTCAATTTTAATTTGTTTTTCTGATTTGACTCAATACAAAGTTTAAGAGAATAAAAAAGACTGCCGACATACTCATATTTTTATTTTTTTATATTTTTTTAAGACATACTCATATGAAAAGGTATGAATACTAACATACGTAATGAATAAAAACTCTACAATCGTCGTACATACACAACACATTATATAACATAGACACTTCTCAAGCTTGTTTTCATCAACCAAAAAAAGAAGAAAAAGAGGAAAAAATGTTGTTCAACTTTGATCTTTCAATTAATATATTCTCACATCTTTATTTTTTCTTCCTTCCCTTAGTAATAGTCTTGTTATTTTTCATCATGAATATTTCAAAAACCATTTTAACCAATGTTTTCATATATCCCAAGTCTACCAAAATCCCAAGATCCTATCCAATTATTGGCTCTTATTTCTCAATCAAATCCAATATAAATCGTCGAATTCAATGGACATCTGAAATTGTTTTAAGTACACTACCATCTCTTACTTTTACACTTTATCGACCACTAGGCCATCGTCATATATTCACAGCCAACCCCTCTAATGTTGAACACATTCTCAAAACATGCTTTCATAATTATCAAAAAGGGTATCTTGGTAAAGAAACTTTAAAGGATCTTCTAGGCAATGGCATCTTTAATGCTGATGGTGAGATTTGGAAGTACCAAAGAAAACTTGCTAGTCATGAATTCAACTCCAAATCTTTACGTAAATTCATTGAGAATGTTGTAGATGTTGAACTGTCTGATCGTCTCATTCCTATTCTGGCTATGTCCGCATCTCAAAAAAGTGTTGTTGACTTTCAAGATTTGCTTCAAAGGTTCACTTTTGACAACATTTGCATGGTTGCTTATGGGTACGATCCAGCATATTTGTTACCATCCTTTCCGGAGGCAAAATTTGCAAATGCTTTTGAAGAAGTTGTTCGTATTAGTAGTGATAGATTCAATTCCCTTGCCCCGTTTATATGGAAGCTCAAACGAATTCTCAACGTTGGATCTGAGAAGAAATTGAGAGTTTGTGCAACACAAATTCGCGATATGGCTAAGGAAATGATTAAGCAAAAGAAGGAAAGATCAAGTTATAATAAGAGGTCTAGTGACGATCTTCTTTCAAGATTCTTAATAAGCTCATCAGACGAACAACAAAACATGCATGATGAAGAGTTCATTATAGATATTGTCATTAGTTTTATCTTGGCCGGAAGAGACACAGCTTCTGCTGCACTAACATGGTTCATTTGGTTGATTTCAAAGAATCCAGAAGTGGAAAAAGAAATCCTGAAGGAAATAGCTAACACGACGACGTCTTCCTTAACGTATGATGAAGTGAAGGACATGCCATACACTCATGCATCGTTATGTGAAAGCATGAGACTTTACCCTCCCGTCCCTGTTGATACTAAAGAGGCCATGCAAGATGATATATTGCCTGATGGGACATTTGCAAAGAAAGGAACGCGAATAAGCTATCATCCATATGCAATGGGGAGGGTGGAGGAGATATGGGGGAAGGACTGGCAGGCTTTTAGGCCAGAAAGATGGTTGAAAAGGGATGTCAAGACAGGGAATTGGAAGTTTGTTCCTAAGGATCCATTTGTGTATCCAGTGTTTCAAGCTGGACCTAGGGTTTGTTTAGGGAAGGACATGGCGTTCTTGCAAATGAAGAAGGTGGTGGCCGGAGTTTTACCAAGATTTAGGTTTGTTCCGGTGGTGGATAAAGGTGAGGAGCCGGTGTTGATAGCTTACCTTACTATTAAGGTGAAAGGGGGTCTCATGGTGAGGATTGAGGAAAGGACAAATTAAAATCGTCCTAAGGTAAGAAAAAAAAGATACATGTGCATGTGCATACGCGCGTATGCACATGCACATGTATGTATAAGAGAAAAGAAAAGAGAAGGAACAAGATGTGTTGGTCTACGTCCAATTAGAGTAATCAGTGTGCAATAAATGTTGTAGAAGGGGTTTTGCTAAAAATGATCTATATGTGTGTGAGGAAGGTGTTTTCCTTTTTCAGTTGTCTAGTCGTTTTCTTAATTGTACCATCTTATCAATGTTTATTGTGATCGTAAAATAATAAATAAATAAAATGTTTTAATAAAGTTGTTTATATCACTAGTGTTTTTTTCGATAGGAGATTCAAATCCTATGTAAAATTTCATAACTTTGGAATAGTAAAAGTTGCTTTGTTTGTCCCATTTGGAATTATCATCAATTAATCTTTTTGCTACATGAAATATACATTGTTTTCATGAGATTTTTGCCAAAGACTAGTTAGGTGGTTTGGAGTATTAAAATTTCTTTTTTGATAAAAAACTGTTTTAGTAAATTTTAAATGAAAATTTTGAATTATTTGTTTAATTATAGTTATTTAATTCAAATTCATTATTTATTTAAGGAGAATCTGCCTAATTACACAAATATTTCTATCATATTTATTAATTCTCTCTATAGTTTGAAAAAATTAGAGTACATTTTATCTCACTATTTAATAATTTCATACCAAATTTCAAGGCAGATACATGTGAATCACACTTGATACGCACTATATGCATGTATTCAGTGTGATTCACATGTATTTGGAATACCAGATATGCGAGTGAAAAATGAGAGTGGCGAGCGAGATGGGAGGGAAGCGAACGATATTTGTGTATGCCAGATACATGCCAATCCACTTTGATACAATATATCTAGAATAAATTACACCTAAGTTTGACCTCAGATATCTAGACGTATCAGGACACACCAAATTCTGATAAATTCATAAATTTCAAACTAACATACATCTAAATAATTAGCTTCTAAACTAGCAGAATTTCGATAATTTACCTTTTATTTAATATTCTATATATGCCGGAGTTCTTTTTGGTCAGCTCATTTTTTTAAATTTTTTATATCTTTGGTACTTTTATCTTTTTATTACAGGTTGCTTTAATATCCCATATTATTACTATTTAATATATATAAAAACAATTATTTACAGAATGAGTTTACCATTTTATCTCTGTTAATTATAAAGTGAATAAATTAAAAACTTAAGATTTTCAAAAAGTTCGACATTTTTCAAAATAATTAATTGTGAGGGTATAATAGATTAAACTTTTTTGTCCTTTATTGATTTGTCAAAATGAACCAATAAGTAATTAGAGACAAGTAAAAAAAAAGTGGACAAGTAATTAGGGACCGAGAAAATATTATTTTCTCTAATACCTTGTAAGTAACTATCTCTAGAAACTTTCCTTCCTTCCTAACCATTATGATCTCTCCACTATCACCATCCATTTCCATTAATGTTTATTAGGTTTGGATGTGTAGTTGAGAGGTATTGGTTGTTGGTTGGTGACAATTGAATTGGTTTAATTACTTTTGCTCACAAGTGCTGTACTTGGTCCCCATGCTGTAGTCCTTTTTTCAAGAGAAAAGAGCATATGGTTTCATAATTGATATATTCACTTCGTTTCGATTTAAATAATGAGTACATGGTTGTTGTAGGCCCAAGTAGCACTATTATGGTATGTGAAAAAAAATGAGCTTATCGTTTAATTTTTGATGAATCCATCGACATACATTTAAAGTTGACATAATTTTTCACTTAGACACCTAAACTAAGGCTTGTATTATTCAAACAACTGATGTAGGGACTAACTTTACCATTTTGACACTTTTTCACAATTCACACTTTGACATGTCATCGGCGAGTGTGTTTACACACTCTCTACATAGTTGGTTGAGTTAGCGAAAAAATATCAAAATGGCACAGCCAGACCTTCTATAGTGTTTAAATGGTACAAGACTTTGCAGTGGTATTTAAACTAAAGATGTTGCCAAGTACTTTAGTTGTCTTTGATGTGTCCCCACTTTCTACAACCCCCAACTACCCTTTATTATTCACTTGTGTAAGTAATGAATAGGCACATAGTTGTACCAATTACAAGTAATATCACTAGCAAAAGGAAGAAAGAAATCACTGATCATTCTTGTTTGCAAATTACTCTTAGCATATTCAACAGGTAAAGTAAAGTTGTTAGTAATTAAAGATAGAAACATTTATCAAAAATCATTTTGTGTTTTCTTGTTTTGCTTTGCAGATTTCAGAAATGGATATTGGCTTAGCAGTTGGTGGTGCATTTCTCTCTTCAGCTTTGAATGTTCTCTTTGATAGGCTTACTCCTCAGGATGATCTGCTCAACATGTTTCAGAAGCATACGAATGATGTTCGGCTCTTAAAGAAGCTGAGAATGACTTTGCTTGGTCTTCAAACTGTGTTAAGTGATGCAGAGAATAAGCAAGCATCAAATCAATTTGTGAGCCAGTGGCTTAATGAGCTTCAAGATGCTGTGGACTCTGCTGAAAATTTGATGGAACAAGTCAATTATGAGGTTTTAAGACTTAAGGTGGAAGGTCAGCATCAAAATCAGCAAGTAAGTGACCTCAACCTGTGCTTGAGTGATGATTTCTTTCTTAACATAAAGGAGAAGTTGGAAGACACTATTGAAACATTGAAGGATTTGCAAGAGCAAATTGGTCTACTTGGCTTAAAGGAACATTTTGGTTCGACTAAACGAGAAACTAGAACACCTTCAACTTCTTTGGTTGACGATTCTGATATCTTTGGAAGGCAGAATGATATAGAGAATTTGATTGACCATTTATTGTCTGAAGATGCAAATGGAAAAAATTTGACTGTAGTTCCTATTGTTGGAATGGGGGGTGTGGGTAAGACAACACTTGCTAAAGCGGTTTACAATGATGAGAAGGTGAAAAACCATTTTGGTTTGAAAGCTTGGTTTTGTGTTTCTGAGGCATATGATGCTTTCAGAATAACGAAAGGGTTACTTCAAGAAATTGGCTCATTTGACTTAAAGGTTGGTGACAATCTTAATCAGCTACAGGTCAAATTGAAGGAAAGCCTGAAGGGAAAGAAGTTTCTCGTTGTTCTTGATGATGTGTGGAATGATAACTATAATGAGTGGGATGACCTGAGAAATCTTTTTGTACAAGGAGATATGGGAAGTAAGATCATTGTAACTACACGTAAGGAGAATGTTGCCTCGATGATGGGTAGCAGAGCAATCAATGTGGGAACTCTGTCTAGTGAAGTCTCTTGGGATTTATTCAAACGACATTCACTAGAAAATAGGGATCCCGAGGAACACCCAAAATTTGAAGAGGTTGGAAGAAAAATTGCAGACAAGTGCAAAGGGTTGCCTTTAGCTCTAAAGACACTTGCTGGTATTTTGCGCTGCAAATCAGAGGTGGAAGAGTGGAGAGACATTTTAAGTAGGAAAATATGGGACCAGCCAAGTTGTTTGAATGGTATATTACCAGCGTTGATGCTGAGCTACAATGATCTTCCTCCAGATTTGAAGCAATGTTTTGCTTATTGTGCAATATATCCAAAAGATTATCTATTTTGCAAAGACCAAGTTATATACTTGTGGATTGCTAATGGTCTTGTACAGCAGTTTCATTCAGGTAGCCAATACTTTCTTGAGTTGAGATCAAGATCATTGTTCGAAAGGGTCCCAGAGTCTGAATGGAAACCGGAGGGATTCTTAATGCATGACCTAGTCAATGATTTGGCCCGAATTGCATCTTCAAAACTTTGTATTAGGTTGGAAGAGAACAAAGGATCTCATATGTTGGAACAGAGTCGGCACATGTCCTATTCCATGGGAGAAGGTGATGACTTTGAACAGTTGAAACCCCTCTACAAATTGCAGCAGTTGAGGACATTGCTTCTAATCGATACTGATTACTCACCTCCGCTAACCAAGAGGGTGTTGCATAACATATTGCCAAGACTAACATCCTTAAGGTCATTATCGTTGTCAAATAGTTGGATTGTGGAGTTGCCAGATGTGTTGTTTATCAAATTAAAGCTTCTCAGATTCTTGGACCTTTCTAGGGTGCTGATTGAAAAGTTGCCAGATTCCATTTGTGTATTGTATAACTTGGAGACACTTCTCCTGTCACATTGTAGTAATCTTAAGGAGTTACCACTGCAGATGGAAAAGCTAATCAACTTACGCCATCTTGATGTAAGCAACACTTTTAGCTTGAAGATGCTGCTACATCTAAGCAAGTTGAAAAGCCTCCAAGTGCTAGTGGGAGCTAAGCTTCTTGTAGGTGGTCATGGTGGATTGAGAATGGAAGATTTGGGTGAACTGCATAACTTGTATGGATCTCTATCAATTCTAGAGTTGCAAAATGTGGTTGATAGAAGGGAAGCTCTAAAGGCAAACTTTTGGGAGAAGAATCATGTTGACAAGTTATCATTGGAGTGGAGTGAAAGTACTGCCGACAATTCACAAACTGAAAGAGACATACTTGATGAGCTATGTCCACACACAAACATAAAAGAACTCCAAATCACCGGATATAGAGGGACAAAATTTCCAAATTGGCCAGCTAGTCTTTCGTTTCTTGAGCTGGTTAAATTGTCTATTGATTCCTTGCCAGCACTAGGACAACTCCCTTCTTTGAAATTCCTTTTCATTAGAAGGATGCATCGAATAACAGAGGTTACAGAAGAATTCTATGGAAGTTCGTCATCTGGAAAACATTTTAACTCTCTTGAGAAGCTTGAATTTGAAGATATGCCAGAGTGGAAGCAATGGCACGTACTAGGAAGTGGCGAGTTCCCTATACTTGAGAATCTTTCAATTGAAAATTGTCCGAAGTTGATAGGGAAGTTGCCTGAAAATCTTTGTTCTCTGACAGAATTGAGCATTTCAAGATGTCCTGAACTCAATTTGGAGACACCTCTTTTTAATGAGGCTGAACTGTTTACATCCCAACTTAAGGGAATGAAGCACATTGTTGATTTATATATTGTTGGTTGTAACTCTCTTACCTCCTTACCTTTTAGCATACTGCCGAGTACCTTGAAGACAATAACCATATCTCGTTGCCAGAAATTGAAATTGGATCCACCAGTCGGTGAGATGAGTTATTGTCACATGTTTCTCGAGAGATTGAAACTGCATGAATGTGTTTCTATAGATGATATATCATCTGAGTTGGTCCCAAAAGCATGCAAATTGAATATATCTAGTTGCCATAACATAACTAGCTTTTCGATTCCTACTGTGACTGAGAGACTCTTCATTTTTGGATGTCACAACCTTTCGGTTGCATGTGGGGGCAGCCAGATGACGTACTTGGGTATCGTCTACTGTGACAAGCTGAAGTGGCTGCCAGAACGTATGCAGGAACTCCTTCCATCTCTTAAGGAACTGGAACTGTTGGATTGTCCAGAAATAGAGTCCTTTCCTGAAGGAGGAATGCCATTCAATTTACAACAACTTCGAATTGGGAATTGCAAGAAACTGGTGAATGGCAGAAAAGAGTGGCGTTTACATAGACTCCCCTGTCTCAGAAAGTTAGTGATCGAACATGATGGCAGTGATGAAGAGATCGAACATTGGGAGTTGCCTTGCTCTATTCAAAGATTTGAGGTATCCAATCTGAAAACATTAAGCACCCAACTTCTCAAAAGCCTCACCTCTCTTGAAGATCTACGTATTGGTAATTTACCTCAAATTCAGTCAATGCTGGAAGAAGGGCTTCCCTCCTCTCTTTCTCACCTCACTTCACTTCAAAGCCTCAGCATCTTCTCCTGCCATCAACTCCAGTCTCTTTCCCTTCCCTCCTCCCTCTCCGAGCTGAACATCGAGGATTGTCCTAATCTCCAATCACTTTCCGAATCAGCACTGCCTTCCTCCCTCTATGAGCTGACCATCGCGCATTGCGCTAATCTCCAATCCCTTCCAGCAAAAGGAATGCTCTCTTCCCTCTCTAAACTAGATATTTCCAACTGTCCATTCCTCAAACCACTCCTAGAATTTGACAAGGGGGAATACTGGCCAGAAATTGCTCATATCTCCATCATAGCGATCGATGAGGAATACCTTTAATGATTAAAACGAGTGGTGCTCTCACAAATGTAAGTTTTTCTTTTTCCTCAGAAGCTTCCTATATTTGTTTACTTCCCTTGGCTTTTTTGTTTATTCTTTTCCTTTTTAAAAAAATCTTGTTGAGCAGCATGGAGTGTTTATTGCCATTATGAAGCCAAGAAATCATCTTCACTTTGAGATGAATTTAATTTTAGATTAAAAAAAAAAAGGTGATAAAATCTTTATATTCGCGTGGTAACACTGTAAAACAAAATCTAGTATAGATAGGAATTAAATAATTTCCTCCACAAAATTGCTAGCATAATATAATATTAATGAACAAGTAACTTTTTACCATGATCTTCATCTCTATAGCAATTCATGTATACTTCTTCTTTCCATTTTCAATGAGTTTAGAGTTATGCACATGTCCACTATCGAAGTCAAAGCTCTAATAGAATTCAAAGGTGTACGATACACAAGGTTTGTTTCCTATGTTACAAAAATACAAATGTTTGTGCAACCATGTTAAATCGAAAGTTTTTAGTTCTTGTAAGCATCATAGATCTGCTGTCACTATAGAAAATCTTTTTGAGTGAATCTATGTAGGATAGATTGTATTTGCACTATCCTTCAATGTTTGCACATATTTAATTGTGCCACAACATGACCATGAATAACTAAGGTTTGTCAATTGGTTGCTAAACTGAATATAAGGTGAGTTTTCTGTGAAGCATATAGATTTCCTTACAAATATTTATGTAGGTTGGTGATGATATTCTTGAAAGCATAAGAAGCAAGAATATACATCAATCATCCATGGCAACGTATACTTATGAGGAAACAATGGCTACCACCAGAACTTGTTTGTTGGGACATAAAAAGACCATGTCTAAGGTATGGAGAAACTTACAAGATTCTGTTGCATCAGTATGAATGTTGGTGGATGGTTTAAATGTGGTCCTGACAAGATTCTGTTGCATCAGAGTTGGGATCTCGCTAACCTTCCTTCTGTGAAACTCACTTTGTTGGATTGTTGGAAGCAGATGAGCCCGTGCAAGCATCTAAATAGGAAAAGATTTTATTGTCAGTACTTTTCTTTCTTCATTATTTTTTACTCTTGCTCTTCTCTCAAACCTGTTCTCGAGTCTAGAGTCAGTCAAAAACAGCCTCTTTGTTCCCTCAAGGGTAGTGGTAAGGTCTATGTACACCAACCCTCCTCATACCCCACCTGTGGGACTATACTGGGTATGTTGTTGTTGTAGTTAGTAGATTGTATTTTACTACTTAGTATTGACAGCAGAACAAAGAAAGATCTATCTCTTATTAATTCTTCTAGTTTTAGCTGATGCATATAAGCTATTCAAAATATGATGCTGTCTTACTTACTACACTTTGTTGCAATACACTGTATATAAACTATTTAAGATATATACACATATATGCATACATTTTTTCCATAACAAGTATAAATAGAATTAGATATATTTCGTATTTTTATTTGCCATCACCACAAGACACTAAACTATGATTTAATGGTGCTACTTTATTGACACTACAACAAGTAAAAATAGTTTTATAGAATATGAGTATCCACATATTATAATATTCTAACAGAGACTATTTTAGCTCTTGAGAAATTTCCATGGCCCTGTTCTAGTTCCTATCCTGCAAATGGACATGGTGAAATAGATTAGATTTAGAGCTATGTTGCTCGGGCTCTGCAATGAGGGGTACGTGTCGAATCCTCCAAAACTAGTGTCATTTTGAAGGACCTGACACGTGTGTAGCAACATTTTTGGAGAGTCTGAGCAACATAAATTTGGAGTGCATTACAAATTGACCACATATATATACCTCCAGAAGCCTGCTAAAGCTCTGAGACTCATATAGATGGTTAGAGCCACCCAAATTCCGACGAATTTATAACTTGATGAAAGAATGAACAAGAACACAATGCTGAATAAAGCCACTGTTACCTGAACACAAAATGCATTCTCAGAATTTAATATTTGTTGAAATTTACTGTTTTGAGGGGAGGGGAGGGAGATGTTTTGAGGAAAGCGCTGGCTTTAGTGTTTTGAGGAGATGGCGAAAAAGATGACTACATTTTAACTTGAGGATATGCTTGACTTGTGTTGTAGATAGAAGAAAAAAGAAAAGGAACGTCATGTGAGCTTACCATTGAGTAGGCAGAATATGCAAAGTCAGATGCGCCAAAGTTTACGCCATCAAAGACAAAGGCCAGGGCGTTGATAGGTTGTGTTGCCGCGACAAACTGAAATGGGAAGAAATTGTGAGGTCCAAAATCCATTACTTTACATCGAAAAGTTCTCTAAGGTGTATTGACAAAACATATTAGGATATGGTGGATACCGGAATGCCAATACCAATTAGGTGGATGACGTTGACGTCTTTTGTAAATAATCTAGCTCCAAAATGTAAACCAACTCCAAGGATAAGTGCTAGCACCAATCCTAGAACTAATCCCAACTGCAAAATTTTCAAGAATTGAAGGTCAAAAATAGTTCATCATTAAGGATACACGAACCTCTACTAATAGAACAGCCTAAGTACGTACCTGCAACACTCTTGATGCTGTAGCAGTAGCCCTACTGAAGTCGTTTTGAGCAAATGCACTTGCTAATATGGCCTGATAGAGAAAAGAAAGGTCAAAGTTCTGAATTTTGTTTACAATTTAATAGTTTTGATGCTTTTGCAGGTTAGATTTAGTACATACATGGTGATAGTTCACGTAGAAAAAGGGAACAGTTGATAGTTGGGGTGTGAAACTCGCAAAAATATGACAGTTCAGGTGTATTTTTGATTATTAGCTCTAAAATATATTGTTTCTGCACAGAAGATCAATATTACTTGGTAGTCTACATTTAAAAAAAACTAGCAGTGCTAATTACTATTTCACATTTGGGCTTCCTAAGTGAAATTTTTTGTTGCGTTATAGCGAACAACAATTTAAGGTGCTAACTCATTTAGAGAAATACGAATCCAGTAGCCAAAGCTTTGTTGATATGGAAACATCTTCCGGTGTACATATGGTGACCTGTGACAGGTTAGTTTGAGAGGGATAATGACGATATTTCTTCAGTAAATAAAGCAGGAATTCAAGGACTATATGGTACATCCTTGGATAGATACTAGATAGGCAGGGTGGTGACCGGTGACATAACATTCTTCCCTGCTTGTCTAACTCGAGCCAGATAGCAGAAATCACTAAGAATAGTAGTATTTAGAACACATGTAAGTCCATATCGAAAGATAAGGAAGGTGAGTCACAGGGGTGGCTCAATGCCTTTAAAAATGAGGCATATGCCTTGGCCCCCAAAATCGAAGGGCCTAATTTTTTAGTAATTACAAAATTATCATCAGTTTTTTTTAACAAAAAAAATAAAGAATGTTTTAATTTGTTTCGAAACATTAAAGAATGTTTCTTTTTTAATGGATCAATTTTTAAATTTAACTTCCACATGATATGTTTAAGACCACAGGATTAAAAAATATTTTGGTATATATATATCTTTAGTTTAAGATCATAAAAAAAATAAAACTTGTTTTATTAAAAAGAAAGAAAGAAATTGAATCTCAGATATAAAAAAAATAATTAAAATTTAGGCCTCCAACTTATTTTTGGCTTTAGGCCACTAATTAGCTTGAGCCGCCACAGGTGAGTCAAAGCGAAAAGACAACCCTGGTCGGACAGTAGACAAACAGGCAAGAACAGAAAGGCCCACTACAACAGTTGAAATGATAGGAAGATCATATATCACCTGACCAGCAACGGCCAAACCATCAGCTAAAAGAGATGTAGTCAACCAAACCTGCAAGCAGACCTGAAATGCAGCCATTTCTGTGGGTCCTAACCTTGCAGCTAATGATGCAGCTAACGTTACACAGAACGTCACTGCTATGACCCTCATTAACAATAGAAATCCTGAAATTCCGGAGAAAAAAAGAGGATGAAAAGTAAAGGAGACAACAGTTAATGAACTAATTCCATCTTATTGTTGGAGCATTAGAAACTTTCTTTTAATTAGTAGATCGAAAAGCAGAACGAAATCTAGTGAATAAAAGCATTTCACATTGTCAACAGTTTGATATCCTAAGAATCTGCCCGTCTACTCTTTCTGTATTCAACTTCCTTTTGCAAATGCCAAAGCAATCAGATGACATTACATAGGAACACGAATATAAGATGAAGACAGACCGAATGAATTGAACACGTTACAAAAATTCTGTAGACTAAAAAGATGAAAGAAGGGAGACATTAAGAATCTAACATAAGCATTTCTTAAGCCTTGTTATACCAAAATTATACGTTTGAAGAGTTGATTTCTGAGATGGTCACTCAACTAATAGTTATTCACTCAGAAAGTCACTTTCTTTATTGAAGAAAAATGAGAATCAAGAAGAAGAGTGACTTTCTAAGACTTTCTTTATTAAAGAAAAATAAGAATGAAGAAGAAGAGTGACTTTCTGAGATAATAAGTATTAGTTAAGTAACTATCTAAGAACTCGACCCTACGTTTGAAGTAAAGATTAACAACATCAGAGAAAACCTCACCATTTGTGAGAAATCGAGCAAATTGCATATACTTTAGACTAGGAGGTAAGAGATCAACTTTTTCCATCAATCTCCAAAACAGTATTACTGAAATTAGGTACCTGCACTACCAAGTCATATAAGAATCTACGTCAATGATATATCGGAAAACTATTCTCTCACAAAATTTGTTTTTATGGAGACATGATAGAGACTCACTGTGAAATTACATGAGCAATTGCAGCACCTCTGACACCCATATGGAACGCAAAAATGAATATGGGGTCCAAAATTATGTTTGTCAAATCTCCAGCCACTGGCGAGATCAAAGCACCAAAAGAAAAAGAAAGAAACTGAGTTAGATTTTTCTTAACTGAATTTGAACTTCATCTGTCAATTTCTTAGTAGCTCACCAGTTGCAAAGAGTGGAGTTTTCGTATCTTTAAATCCTCGAAAAACTCCTTGCATGGCTAATGAGAGAAGAACTGCCGGTGCACCGAGTGACCTCAATTTTAGGTACTCTT